TTGATGGCAGCTCGGAGCTGTTGTGCAGATGCCCACAGCAGCAGAGGACGGGGTTAGGACCATCGCAAAGACCTTGCTGTCAACCTGCTTCTCCCTGGCGTGTTCCTGGAAAGCCACCGAAATGCAGCACGGGTGTCGGTGGCACTGCTGCTCATCAGTCACACCCCAGGGGACCTCTGCCCTCAGCCACAGGCCAGCTGAGAGCCCCCTCCCAGGCTTTCCTGGGTCACATAGCCAGAGGTTTTCTGATGGCACTGAGGTTTCTGAAAGGCTTGCTGCCTGCTGGGAAGGGAACGGGCCCCGGGAACCCTTGGGCACGTAGGACTTTGGGCACAGCAAGTTTAACGCGGCCCCGGGGTGGCAGCCGTGCCCTCGCCTTTGCTAACAGAGCCCCTGTGCGGGTTTTGGCAGAGCTTAACCATGAGCAAGTGATGGTGATGCCATGCTCAGGGTAAGATGCGGCCATGGGGTACCAGAAATGAGTACATGGTCTTTTCCAGGCACCTCAAGGTGTTTTCTGCCTCTCTGCAACACCCGGTCCCTAGAAAGGTGCTTTGCCACCCAAATTCCCCACCTGGTTTATAAGCAGAAGGAGCTGCCTGCCCCTCTCCCATGGACGCCAGCCAGCGGCTCCCACTCCTGGCGCTGGCTGCGGCCGTAAACTCCCCATCCCTGCCGTATCTCCGATCATAAACATCTCCGTGCAAGGCCTGGCATGGCACTGCCCCGACCTCCCCCGGCCGCGCTATCACCACAAGATAAAGCCGTCTCAAGCTGAACATGGTACAAAACATTCAATTTTTATAGAGCCCTCTTATCTCCTGAAACTCGGAGCAATCCTGCCTTTTTATCACCGGGATGCGAGCCATCCTTTCTACTTATCGTTAGAAATTGCTGCTGCTTGATTAAGTGGGGAGAATGATGTATTCGCCTGAACATTAAACTTTGACTGACCTCTCTTTCTCCTTAAGTATTGTGCTTTTCCCCGTTGCGAGGCCACGGTCAGCCCTTGCCCTGACCTGGCCGGGTCCCTGGGGATGCAGGGAACGACTTGGGGGCACGGCAAAGAGCTGCAATGGTGTGAAGCATCTCGTGGTTTATGCGCGTTTGGGAGAAATCTGCAGTCCTGCAGCGTCTGCTGGCCCTCAGGCACAGGGGAGCGTGGACAGCGGGACCGGGTGGTTGGAGCATCCCTGGAGCACCCATCTCCAACCCCCTCGTCCCATAGCCAGCTCCCAGGGAAGGAGGGACCCACTGCTGGGTGCATCGGAGCCTGTTGGGAGCAGCCTGCCCTTATCAGCCTTTCCCAGAGCCCCCTATTTGCTCTTCCCACCAAATGCACCACTCTAGGGCCAATTTGGTAATCAATCGTTATTTACCTTTTCCCTTAAAAAACCCAAATCCCTGCAGGGTGTTACTCCCTGCTTTGAAAAACCCTCCCGGTTGCGGCTTCTTTGCACAAAAACACCCAGGAGCCTCGCTGCTCTCGGCTGCTAATTCCTGCACGGAGGCAAATGATTTGGAGAGGCAAATGTGGGACCCTGGGAGCGGCAGGGCTCCGTGCCGGCTGCCCGCAGCGCCCATCGCTGCCTTCCTGCACAGGATGATGCAGGGAACGAAGCTTCACCGAAGGACCACGGATGCTCCTGCCATCGTGCAGTGGACAGGGCTGCCGGAGGATGGAGCAGGGAAGCATCCCAGAAATGCCAAGAAGCTTTCGGGAGAGAAAAGGCCATGAAGACAGCTGGGGATTTACAGGCCAGCACTCCAGGTGGGATCCGAGTGCCTTCTCCAGTATGTGATTCTACCATCATGAAAAGGCTTCAAGGACCTGATTTTATAGGTGCCTAAATAAATACGTGGAATCGATATATAAAAACATAGCGTATATTTATCTATTTTGCAGGGGGAGCAGGATGTAATTAGATGGCAGCGCCTCTCTCAAGGCCATCCCTGCTGTAATTCATGCCCTGAGGCGGCTGGCCAAGGGGAGGAGGAGGAGGAGGAATAAAGCAGGCAGCAGAATTGATGGGCTGCTCCCAGAAGCTCTGTTTTAATTAATTTCCAAAGCGCTCCTTGTAGGGGAGCAGGCAGCTCCTCCAAAGCCTCTTTCTACCCGCTGCTGCCCGTGCTCTCAGGCTTGTGCCAGCGTGGGGTTTGGGGCAGCGGGGTGAGCCCGGGAACCAGCCCTGCTTCTTCCAGCCCCCAGGTTTTTTGGTTAAACTCTGCAGAAGCTGTTGCTGTTTTTAAACAGGGGGGACTTTTCCCTGGCCGAGAGACCTTTTTGATGGCCACGGCATGGGCAGGCGTATTTGTCAGGGCTCTTCCTTTTCCCCTTTTTATTGATTTTCTGCTTGTTCCTGCTGCCAGGGGTCAGCTCGGGCTTTGGCTGGACTTTGCCAAAAGTCCACCCAAAAGGGTCGGTTACCAGGTGCTGACACAGCGCCCCGTCCCTAAGATATAAAGGGTTTGAGAACTGGGTTTGCAGCGTGGTGGTGGGGCTGGGAAGGGGCTGTGCCAGCTCCAAAGCTCTTCCCGAATAAGCGGGCTTGTGAAGCTAAACTGCGTTTGCCCTGCATCCAGCAAGGTGACGGCAGTAACAGCAGCTCAGCGCCGAATTTAAGGGTGGCCTGGCTGACATGAAGGGACCCATGCCTGGCCAGGACAGCATACCGACCGACACAGAGCCTTCCAACGCCATCAAACTGCTGCACCTGGTTTTCCTCTCCACCTCCTGGGGAATGCAGATCTGGGTGACCTTCGTGGCTGGTAGGTTGCGGTCCGTGCACACCGCCGTGGCTCTCTGCCCAGGGGAGGGGGCTTTGCCCCAGGACTTACCTGCTCTCCCCCCTTGCAGGGTTCGTGATGGGCAGCCGCCTCCCTCGCCACACCTACGGCTTCATCCAGCGCGAGCTCTTCCCCTATTACTTCCACATTGGCTCCGCTTGTGCCTTCCTCAACCTGACTCTTTTTGCTATGTACCACCCCAGCGAGCTGCTCAGTGATGAACAAACGACCCAGGTAGCTTCCCGCTTTAAAATGTGAGCTGGCCCTAGCCCAAATCCCTTCCTCCGTGGGGTCCTACTCCGCTCTGCTCCACTGAGGCTGGTTTGCAAACGATGATGAGGTCCACATGTGGCTGTGGTTAAAAGAAACCGGTTAGCATCCAGATTGCAGCGAGCCTTGTCTGCAGGAGGGGCTGGGGGAGAAATTTAATCCACCACCTGTGCGAGATGTTCACGGCGGGTGTTGCTCCCCTGCAGATCATCATCTTCTTCGTTTGCATCGCTGCTTCTGTGCTGAACACGCAGTGGTTCGGGCAGGTCACCTCCGACATCGTGGCAGACATGCATCTCATCGAGCGTAGCCACGGCCTCGGCCAGGAGGTCGGGCTCTTTACCAGCAAGTCCTGCGAGCAGTTGTGTGTCTCCAACCTCAGCTACAAGCAGCTGTCCCGGCAGCTCACCCTCTACCGCGCTCTTTCCTCTCTCTGCAACCTCTCCTGCATCGCATGCAACGGCTTGAGCTTGTACTACTTGGCTGCCCATCTCTCTGCCCTGTGAGAGCAGGACACGGCGAGGCGAGGGCTGGCCGGCCAGAACCAAGGCTCTGGGATGGCTGTCTTGCTGTAAAGTAACCTTGAGCTTTGGAGATTAAATGCCAGCATCCTCAGATGGAGATACTTTTAACTGTATTTGTGCATGGTGCAGAAATTTAGGAATAGTGAAATGGAAATGCTTTATTTAGAGCTGTCTGAATGCAGCTCTGGAGCAAGAAAAATCCTCCGTGCTCTAAGGAGAAGTGTTATGGCTGAACAGCTTTTTAATGCCCCGTGCGCTAGATGTGTCTAAAACTGCACTGTATTTCTGCAGTCGCTGAGGGACCGCAGAAGAGAAAGAAATGAGAGATTTAGAATTGCTTTTAATTAAATGCTGAAAGCTAATACAGAAGCGCAGAAGACCCTCTAAGTTGGCCGTACCAGTTAGTGTAATGGATAAGGTTGTTATGTTTGGGTTTAGAATTACTGTTTGTCATTCCCTTGTAGTATATCACGAGGTGAGAAAAATTATCGTCTCATTTATTAGGCAGAAGTCAGTCTACTTAAAATAGACATGTTTATTCCCAAGGTTCTGTAGGACAATCAGTAAGGTAGCAAAAGGGTCAGTAAAGCACACCCCTCCGAGCAAAGAGCTCTGCTTTACCCTGGCCAGCAGCAGAGGTAAGTGATGAAAAAACATCAGCTGCTTAATCCCAGGCAGGAATCTGACTGCATCCATCCCGCTGCAACCGGCGGGTATCTCCCCAGACCACTGCTGTTAAACCCCAGCAACTGCAGCCCACCTCCAAGGAAATCGGTGATTTTTCGCAGGTAACTAAGTACGTTCCCAGCTGCTGTTGCTTCAACTGCAGCCGGTGTTTGGCACTGCTTCAAGGTTTATTTCAAAACCACATGCAGCCTATCACAGAGGAGACCTGCGAGTCAGCTGGATTTCTTTTTAAACAAATAATCTCCTCTTGTAAGCCCTTCATTCTCCTACGCTGCTTTTCTGGAAGTTTCCCCGTGTGCCAAGATTCTTTCTCCCCTGAAGTGTGCATGGTACTTCGTTCAAGCAGAAGTTTGCAGTCTGTGGCTAGGATAACGAACAGCAGCCTCTTGCACAGGATTCCTCTTGCTGCCCTCTTGCTCGTTACAGTCGATGCACCTTCTTGCCAGAGAAGTACTTCTTAGAGAAAGGAGAACGCTTTACAAATGCCAAAACTGTTGGAGTCCCGGCCTTTACAAAATACCTGCAAAGATTAAAAGGAGTCCTTTGGCTGCCTTGTAGCCAGCCAAGTGTCAGGCAAAGTGAGTGACTTCCACCCACCTCAACAAAGACTGACCTCCCAGAGGCCGATGACAAGCTTTTTCGCTGATTAGCAGAGCCTCTCGGAGCCAGGGCTACACACATTCGAGGCGGAGTGTTTTATGAATCAACTCTCCTAACAGCTACTTCTAATTAAAACGGCTGTTATTCTCCCTCCGGAAGGAGGTTTCTTTTGCAACTGCCCTTACAGCCTGAAATCGGAGGGCTCACACGTGGTGCCGAGCCGTAAGAAGTGATGCTCAGAGGCAGCCCGCAGCGGTGGGCCCCGAGCTCTGCTCCCCCTCCGACAGACCCAGCCTCCGGCGCCGGGCAGCAGCCTTTCTCCAGCTATGCAAGTGAACAGCACAGGCTTTACAATAACTTTTTGGCTTTCCAAACAGCAAATTCTTCTCTCTAAATAAACTGCACAACACTTTAAAGCCAGTTTCAGAGTGAAACCGTGCTGCGTTGGGGGCTGCTCATGCAGAGTTATTAACAGCAAGAGCATTGTTAACCTTCAACACGCTCTCTTTATATGTTGCTGCTTTTTATTTTTTTTTTAAAGTAGTACTGTGTAGATGGGGTCTGAAACAGCCCTTTTGTGCTGCTGCTTGTGTGGAGCCCAATTCCCCTTCCCATCTCCATCCACTCCTGGAAAGAGTTGATCATTTTAGGGGGGGAAAAAATAAACCAAACGTAAGTCACTAAAGCCAGGCACAAAATCCATCCAGTCCCACTGCTTTACACCTTCAAGAGTTAGGACTATTAAGTCAGAGAAGAGTTAGGACTATTAAAGGTCCAAGAGTTAGGACTATTAGAGAAGAAACTGCACTTAAAGCCCAAAGCTTATACTTTTTGCCTTTGTGCTCTCTGGACACGGACCGGTACAGCCTCACCTTTCGTGCTGCAGCACTTGTAGCAACGTGTGTTCTGGGTTCAGCTCATACATTTCTGCTCTTTCTTCGTCTTCAAAATAGAGCTGAAGAAAATTTTGGAGGGTGATTAAATACCTAAGGTACATGAAGGCAAACTACTAAGCTGTTGACAGTCCAGTAACAGCACATCACGTATCAACTAGAGGTTTATCAACCTTCTGTAGCTTGAACCGACTGTGTCGGATGCTAACTTTAGCAGTGTAGAAAATGTTTTGTGTGAGTTCCAAGTCTTCCCTGTATAAACCAGTTTAGCTTCTTATGGTGGTGGCCGCAGGAAGGCAAAACATACTGGCTGTTCTGGTGCTTTACGGAGAAGCAATCCAAATCTACGGGCTGCTTACTAACAGGTGAAAGGTAGCAATAGTATGAGCTAAACTGAGTAGGTTTAAAGATATTTGAACAAAATAGAGTAGATTTAAGAGATTCAAATCCAGCAACTGTGCGTTAGACTGTACATACACACAGAGCTATAATCCCAGTTTTAAAAACCTGGGACAGTACACAGCCACTGTCCTTTTGGACCCGGCTGCTCCCTCGCACGTGTGATGCTGAAGCGGAAAACGAAAAATAAACATCTGTATCCTTCTGTGTACAACTTCTGAAAAATTCCCACAATCTGTTGCAGCCACAACCAACTCGTATCCCACCTTAATAGACATATATTGTCTTGATGGGATTACGTGCTAACCTCCAGTTAGTTCTGAAAATAACCTCTTTTTTAAAGAGTATTTTCTCATTTGTACCAAGGAACTCCACAATGCAGTTAAAAAAAACCAAAACACACAGTCTACCAGCTTGATGGTCTCAATTATCATTACAAGGATGGAAATCTAAGAAATATCTTTAAATATCTTCTATCAAATACAACCTAAGTGGAAGACAAAAGAACTTTCATTTTCGTTAATGAATGCTGTGTCCATGTCAGCACATCTGGGAAATGTTTGAGTTTATAAATGAATGCAGCTCTCCAGAGCCTGATATTGCATCCATGTATGGTAAACAGGTAACAATGCCATTGCTTTCATACACTCAAAGCTCTGTATTTTCTCACTCCAGAAAAAAACCCACAACACAACAACCCTGAAATAGAAGAAAAGTCAAACTTCTCACCTCAAGATTGCTGGGAAGGTATTTTCTTTCTAAATCCCAAGGAGGTAACTCAGCAAACATCACCATTAAATGATCAATAAACCTAAAGGCCAAAATACACTTGGTTAGCTTAGACAAAGTGTTCAGCTTCAATAATTTGTACAGTTGCGTTTGAAGGATGGTAAAAATACATTAGCAAATTAGACAGCAGACTTGAAGGTAAGTTCAGATCACTAATAGTTTCTTCCCTTCAAACTCATCGCTTTCCCAATGAGACCAAGGCCCTGCTGTAACTCGTGCTATTGGTTTCAAACTTGAGCAGCGCAACAACAAATTATTTTTAACTTTTCATTTTCGCGCTGAAAAAGATCTCAAAATAAACACCCTGCATTTTGTTTAACATTGATTTTCCTTCTACACGGTCCCATCAGCACCACACTTCACCAGATCGGAGTGCTGAGAATATCCTAGTGGGTCAGAGGCTTGTTTATTTTGGTACTTCAGGGGTCTTGGCGGCCAATTTGTTCTAAGAACCTATTTTAATTTCCTTTGATCATGAAAAGGCATAGCGAACTCTACCGTACAAGAACCAGAACTTTACTAGTCTGCTTGCGCTGTAATTTTAAGTCCTAAACTTAAAGATGCTTATCCCCACACAAAAATAAAAAAGGTTACAAATTCCAAGTTTATTTAACTTTGCAAGACCAGAAACTGAAGTTTACACCAGGAAAAGTGGAATTCTCACTTTGCCAGTCACTTGGCTTACAGTCTGAAAGGTCTGCAGCACTTCAGTCAGGCCTGCCCTAAGGAAACTATGGGGCCACTGGTGGTTACGAGAGGTCCCTTTTGGAAACTTTTTATAATTTCCAAGTTTAATCTGCTTTCCAAGACCCACATATTTGGAGGGCTTTGAAACAGCACCTTAAATGAACCTCCGAAATCCATGCATGGGATGCATCACAGGTATTACCGGCCACCGGTCTAAGGCTGCACCGCAAGCCCCTTTAATCACACTGGCTAGATACGACATGTTTCTCTGCGCCCTCATAGATTTTGCCCCTCATGTTTTAAAGCTGCATTTGCAAATCACAGAATAATTCAGGTTGGAAAGGACCTCAGGAGGTCATCTACTGCAACCTCCCGCTCAAAAGCAAGGTCAGCTATGAGAAATCTGGAACTACTTCATTAGCCTGGCAGTGTTTCACTTGCTGTCTGTTCTCATCGACTCCAATATCTCCTTTGTGCAAGAACGCTGCTGACGGTGCATTTACCTGGAATTCTCGTGAAAAGCCGCAATGAAGTCTGTTTGCTCATGCTCAGGGTACAGAAAGAGGACAGGCCAGTTTAGGTTGCCATCAGCATCTAAGTGCACCTTGGCTCCCGTGGCATTGTCAGAGTGGAACCCATCTAAGGTTATCTGAGCCAGGCCATCTGATATTTCCTCTTCTTCATTTGAAGGTTCAAGAACCAGCTTGATATTTCTTTCCTGGAGGAGAGGAAGGAAGAAGAAAAAAAAACAAACAAACCAACCAAAAATCAAACAAAACCAAACCCCAATCAAAACCCAAACAGGTATGGTGGGGAGAATAAAAGCAAAAAATTAGCAGTCAGTAAAAGGACAAATTGTGTCATTCTTATTAATGAGTCAACTCTTAAACATGCCATCAAAAGCCCTCCTACAGTATCAGACTCAGG